ACCCATAGAGGAGTGATGCCTACTTGACACAGTACATTATTTATAGTAAGTATCATAAATTTTCAACGGCATAAATGAGAAAGTTATAGAATGAAAATACAAATTTTCCGCAGCTTTTCCAAAGCCCTATTTTCTTTAGTCCTTAGTAGGACTTATGCCAATGTTTTTTATGAGCTTTTCGAATATAATAATGTCATATTTCTAATTGGCATTAATGAGAAATTGGTAGACAAATAAAGATGTTTTTCACATTTTCTTACAAAGTTTTCCATTTTTAGGTCCCATGCGACACTTATGCCAAAAAAATTTTGTGATAAAATCGATACTTCTCTTCAACTTATGAAAATGGCATAAGTGAGAAATACGTCGCTGTACACATTATTTTTTTGAAAAGGAAACTTCAATTTTCACAAAGGTGTCCCGCAGCCCATCTTTTAAATTTAGTTTATTGTACTTGTCTCTCGGTTACCTGCACATGTCCTGCCGATGCGTACAAGCATGAGGAATCGTTTCCTTCTCGTGCAGAATATGCTCATCTTCATACCGCAAAACGTACGAGAAAGTTTCTTCACGCCAACAATGTGGTAACTCTCAATCACCCACCCATGAGTCCCGACTTGAACCTCATTGGGCATGTTTAGGACATGCTCGGGCGTCGATGACGACGAGATTATCCACAATTACAAAATCACAATCAATTGACCCAGGCTCTTTTACAGTATTGGCAAGGAATTACGCAACGAGGCATCCGGCGGTGCATTAATATGCGAGACCGCTTGGAATCGGTGATCAGGAACAGAGGCGGCAATACCCGATATTATATTGTGATCTGCAACGTCAAATCAACCAATTTTTTTACGTTTGTGAAACTTGTGAATATGTTAAAAAAAAATTTTGAAAGATTTTTTTTTAATTTTTTTTATAATGAACGTTTTTTGATGAAGGAAATATGGATTATTGCTAAAAAACATTTTTAACTTAAAAAAATGAATAAAAAGTGAAAAATTACTTATTACATACATTGATTTTCAGCAAAACGACAAATTTAAACATTCCGGCAACTAAGAAAAATAAATCGCAACGGTTTGAAATTATTAGGGTTTCATTAGGACACTTTGAGATTGAAAACTTACAGACGATATCCTTAGTTTATTCATTATTTGCAAAGTAATGTCAAGTTATTCAAATATCCCTAATTATGTAATTTTTCACCTTTCTTCTAACCAACATTTTCACTTTGAAAAATCTTTTTTTTTATCAAAAACCCGTAATTACGAATTGTAGAGAATACTTTGCAGTTTCCAAAACCCTACCTGAATTTTCTGTACGACCATTATTTCCCGAGTAATTGATTGCCAACGTCAAAAATGATTTGTTTGCTTTGATCGACGATAACACAGCGACAAATAATCGTACAAGGCTCCGCAACCACTCAAATTGAAGTAAATTAAATTATCTAAAAAAGCTTTGTGATGAAATTACCAAAAAAATTATTTGAAGTGCATAGGCCTTTTTAAAGAAAGAAAAAATTAACAATTTTATTTTTCCGTTGATTTTCTTACGATTACTCAAAAACTGCTGATGGTAAAAAAATTTAAACTGCAGATCGGAAAACTAGACACCTGAAGCTTCAATTTCCTTATTTTCTAATTATCTACGGCCATTTCCCTCCAAGTTACAGCTCTTTGAAAATCACCCAAAATTTTGGTACTTTTTTAATATCCCTTAATTTTTGTGCCTAGTGTATATCGAACTGAATGATGGAACCTTCTATAATAAGATATTTTTCCGAGAATTTAAAGTATTGCTTACTTAATTTAAAATTGGAAATATATAGGATATTCTCTTTAAAAAACAAAAATTTGGTTTATATATAAAAATATTAGACATTGGTATATTGTAGATTACATTTTAATTTGGCTCTTCGAATATCAAACCTTATATTTAAGCTAAAGTCAAATTCTGACCTATATTCAAAAGGGGTGATAACAATGTAGAAATAAATAAATAAATAAATAAATAAATAAATAAATAAATAAATAAATAAATAAATAAATAAATAAATCTAATATTCTAATATTTCCACGACATTCCGCTTATTAAATTATCTAATTCTATTATACCCGATAAAGTTTTTGAACTTTTCAAACAGATTACTAAGAATTCGCAATCGTGATGTTAGCTTAATAAAATTATTTTATACAAGTCTATTCAAGCTATTCACTTCTGTTTCATTTATTGAAGGTTGTATTGCGTTAAAAAATTATCTATCAAGCGGGTATGAATAATGGCAAAATAATAAACAATCACTGAACATAACAAAATGTTACATTATGACAATAAAAATTAAGCTAAGGACTATAATGTGGTTACAGAATTGCGTAGAGTTGAATTAAAAAATTTGGGTGTAATTTTTTATTTTAAATTAAATTATATGCCTCGTATTAGTCGCATTATATAGTAAGAAACATTATCCATCTTAAATGCGTTTGTCAGATCAAAACTTGAGCATGCATCCATCATCTGGAACCCAATATTTGTTACTCACTAACTGGATTTGGAAAAAGTTCAGAGCAAATTTCTTAAATATCTCCTCTTCATAATCTTAAGTAGGTTTGATGTGAATCATTAAACATTACGTCAAAAGCACTTTTCCCTTTTATTCTTACACGTATAAACTTTTAAATAATAACTGATTATCCTGATATATTTTGTAACTCCTGTACGTTATTATACGTATCTACTGCAACAGTAACAATGTTACGCAACGTCCATCAATTTATACTATTTATCTAATATAGTAATATATATTGTCGGTCGATAGCCGCGCGGTTTAAGGCGTCAGTTCTTTAATCGTGTGCAAATTTCTGCCCGGGTTCGATTCCCGCGGCCGGTAGACCGTATATTAGCTATGCTTGTACAGAGGATTGGCACCCTCTGTGCAGGTATGGTAGGGGGAAGAATGTTGGCTTGGGTCAATGTGAGAGATTGACAACAGTTGGCATTTGACCCCCCCCCCCTAATTAATGAGGTTTTCCAGGTTTCCCTCATTCCTGCACTGAATGATGGTTAGGTCCTACCAACATAAGTCGTTCCAGGGCGCAAATGCGGCCTGCCTAATAATAATATGCCGCCTCCTCTCCCGCACAAGTNATAATAATTTATACTATTATTTATCTAAATCATTAAGTCACTTTTTAATTTGGCAAGCGCCAATGTTTGTAACTAAGTGTAGTATTTCAGGATGTGCCTTTTTATATATACAGGTCGTACTGACTAACCTAAGGAACAAGTCCCTGAGCTCATTCTGAATAAAAAAGTTATAATATACATGGGTTTAATTCTCCATGGTTACCGAGCTATGGACCTTTACAGTTTAGAGATAATGTTTTAAAATCAATCTCCTAGCTATGAACATATTGACAAAACAAGGCATAGTTGACATGTCAAAATTTATAAACGTCAGTTTATGTACATACCTAGTAAACTGTGTGAACGTGTTTCTAAAAATACCTTTTCTATCAACATACCTGTGCTATATCCAAACGAAGAGTATGTAGTTTTCATTTATGGATTTTGTGACGGAAATTCGCCAGCTGCCCGTAGAGAATATCAACGATGACCTCCAAACAGAAGAGTGCAAAATCGTCAAACATTTGATTCTGTGTTTCGACATCTGCGAAAGCGTGGTTCATTTTTATCAATTTCAACTAACTATGAACGTCCTGAACAGCAAAATTTGATTGAGCAAGAAAACCTTTTGCATATAATAATAGAAGACAGTCCACAATTAAGTACTAGAAGAATTTTCCTCATTAGAGAATATCACGAACATTACATAGCAATCTATTGTATCCTTATCATGTCCAACAGGTTCGGCATCTGAAACCGCAATTTAGATTTTTCCTTTGAATAAGACACTTTTTTGGAAAGAAAACAATTTATTCACCATCGGAACATTAGTGTCTCAGAAAGCAAGCAAAAATGAACGTAGAATTAGAGTTTTTATCATATTTATAACATTGGATATGCTGAGCTTGCATCGGATGACTGTCTTACAACAACCTATATGATGTCATGCATCAGATAACATAACTCGCATGACTTACTTTCACGGATACATATTTTCCAATGGATTCAAGTAAATCTTCAATTAGTAAAACGTATTTTATTTACCGATGAGTAGTTATTTACTCGAGACGGGGTGAAAAATATGCACAACTCTCACTGATGGTCTGATGAGAATCCTCATTTCAAGAAAAAATTTACTTTTCAACAACGATCTTCTATGGTCTGGTATGACATAATTGATAATCAACTAATTGAACCCTTCATGAAGAGCGCCTTACGGGAGAAGTTTACACCAACTTTTTACGTAATAAATTGTCAGGTCTATTGGAAGATATTCCTGTACTTACAAGACAACAAATGATATTACAACATGCTGCAGTTACTACTCATTTTAGTCGACAAACGAGAGGGTAACTTAAGGAAAACTAAATATATTTGATCGGACGTGGAAGATCACATTCTTGGCCACAGAGATCACCATATCTCAATCCATTAAAGTACTACCTGTGGGGCCATCTTAAAAGCTCAGGATACGAGATAGTAATTAATAATAGAGAGGAACTTAGAATTACTGACAATTGTCAGCAAGTGAGGGATAACCCGGAGATTTTAAGAGCAGTCACTCAATCTATTCTTGGTGGTGCTGTACAGTGTATTATTGCTGAAGGAGGACATTTTGAACCACGATCAAACACAGTAAAAGTTTAAAATCTGTGTAAGTATATGTAAGTACTTATTTCTAAACTTTTAAAGAAAAACTTTTTACTCAGCGTGACCTCAGAAACTGGTACTTTCAGTTTATCTAGTACGTCATACAACACCCTGCATAGATCAAATGAATAAATAAAGATTGTTATATACATAGATGATTTTAAATTGAACATAGTATTTATTATTAGTGGTTTAAGTAAAATTTGTCTTTTCATCCGTTATAATTTATGGATGGAAGGAAACTGTGAAGAATTCATTTATTGATGCAATGATTTCTGAAAATAAAGACTCCATACGAATTCAAAAATTGGTCACACACACGGTCCATATTTTCGATACTAACAATGAATATCTGCAAACTACCACATAATCTGATTTCAGGTGTTCGGGGTGTTGGTCACACTGAAGAGTTGGGTTATTTATGGGACGCGCGCATTTCTAGTGGATCTCCTGATGATCCAGAAGATGTTACCACACGTCACCGTTTGTTAACCCTATGGTCAAACTTTGTCAAATACCTGTGAGTACTTAAAATCAGAATCGCGTAAAATAATATTTATCCACGATTTACTTTAGAAACCCAACGCCAGAAGTGGACAAATTCCTGGGAAACGTGACGTGGGAGAAAGTTAGTCCAAATAATTTGGTGTATTTGAACATCAACCATACACTTGAAATGCAGACGAACCCAAGAGACTACCTCAAATGGGAAAGAATTATAGACGTGTATGCTATACCTCCATTGGTTAATTACTAATGTATCTTGAGAAATAAACTGTATCATTTTATTGTTTTTATATATGCAGCGCATTTTCTGTTAGGTGCAATCTGGTCAAAAGCTGTTTGAATATGACTAACTTATACTCGTATACTCCCTGCAATTACTAAATAAAGTTTTTGTTTTGCTATCATTATGGAATGATCAAAGTATACAATGAAGGCGTTAAATATTATTTGCTGTCAAAGTCGATAAAGCACCTTTTTTTCGTTGTTACAATGTTGCATAATATCTAGGTCCTTGAAGAATTTTTTTGATTGAAAAAGGAAAAGGAATATTGTACCAAGGTACTAAAATATTTATTGTAATAATTATTGTAATATTTTAAAATAACATAGTTCTTCACACAATCCCATATGATACAAAGTTTTCTTTGAGGAGGATTTCAAATTCGTGTTTTAAAAACAACAGTTTACAATATGTAAAATGTGATGAAATTTAAAATACCGTTACAATCCCATATTAAATATATGAATTGATTGCATGAATTAATATAAACCCATTTTACCTATCAAATAAAGCTACAAAATATTCAATGCTGATATTGAAGAATTATTATTGGAAAAAGTGTGTGGCAAGTTACTAGTTCTTTCAGTTTCTGTAGAAGCGTGACGTAAGTAAGAAAACAGCTTTGCGATAGATCAGCTGATAAAATACCGAAACGTAAATACTACTTCGGAGTTATCTCCTTCATCGATTTTCTTAGATTCGTAATCAATTATAACCACTTAAGTACCTAAGCTTTTTAAAAATAAAATATTTCATCTTGTTTATCTCATTACCTACGTGATTTCCACATGTCCATTTTTACTTTTTAAATAAAACTGTAACCTTTGCCGATTTTTGGGTTACTTAAATTGAAGTGTTTGTTGCTTATACATAATTATTAGTTCAAAATACTTAAAAAAAGATATTATTAACTTTAAGTACAATAAGCCTTTTTCTGGCAGATGTAAATAATATTTGTTCATTGACTGTATATCTGATGGTACTAAATAATTTGTTGTTCGCCAATAAATAAATAAACAAATATATTATTATTAATATTAGTATCGTTAAAAATTTTATTTTTTCATCAATCAGCTAATTAATAGAAATTTCTTTTTATGATATTTCTAATATTTCTCCGACTGAACTTCAGTAATGGTCTTGCAACTTCAATTATAGACCAGTGCTTAAGCCTTCAAAAATGGTATAAAGTAAAAAAAAAATATAGTAGGATGAAACCCATTGGAAAAGGAAGAAAAAATAACAGAAATGAAAAGAAAAATAATTTACGGGCGATCTGAGGTCGGGAAGGGGAAGGGGTGAGTTTTTAAGGGTAAAAACGGTATATCTTGTTTTCCGGAAAAACTACAAATCTTATGGAAAAAAGTTAAATAGCAAAGCTGTAGATAATAAAAAGATCTACAATTTTTGTATTTACACTTTTTTCACATATCCTCAAAATTTTGTGAAAAATTCAAATAACCAAGTTTTTGGTTTTTTATTTTTATCTTTTACAAACAAATTTTTTTTTTCACGAAATTTGGTGAACACTTACGTATTTATGTCCCAAACACGCTGTAATTTTTTTGATTTGAAATATTTATTTTTTCACCTT